AAGATGAGAGACATGAGACCGAACAATGCAGAAGAGCTGAAGGCTGCTATTGAAGCATCCTGGTCTTCCATAACACCTCAGCAGTGCCACAGGCTGATAGCTTCCATGCCATGCCGCATTGAGGCAGTAATTGCTGCAAAAGGGGCCCAAACCAAGTACTGAGTACATATGCATGCTTATACTTTTCAGAGGTCCGATACTGCTCCTGTACAATCCTTGTTTTATTGATTGCATGTAATATTCTAATTTTCTGAGATTGTGGATTTGGGGTTTTCATGAGCTGTAAACCATAATCATCACAGTTATGACACATCACGGCTTGAACTATCTTGCTTTGCATGTAATGAGTCTATCTCATATATTAGGTTCACCTTTTAAGTTGCATTACTGAAATAAATGAACTTTTGCACAATATTCTAATTTTTCGAGTTTCACCTGTAAGTGAAGTTTCAGGTGCCCTTTTTTAAAAAACAAACAAACATTTGCCCAGAAACCTGTAAAAGGAACAATTTTATTGAATAGTAATGAGATGCAGTGCTCATCTTTACACAAGACTTGAAGTATTTCATTTGTGAAGAATTAGCAGCCCTTCTGAGAACAATTTGAACCAGTACTACACAAGGGGTTCTGATGTATTGTGACTCCCTGAACTGATAGCGCAGTTTGCACTAGTCCTTTCAAAGATAGAACTTCTTGGTTATTGAAGATCAAATTATACTGAATATTTTAGTGTTTTTATATGGGTAGTTGTTCTACATGCTTCACTTAACATCATGGTAAGACTCCAGTCCAATGAGTATTGGTTGGATTGCTGGAATAGTAAAAAATAATAAGTCTGGAAGAAATCATTCTTTATTCTAGTCTCCAGAGAGTTTCTTTTAGTCCACTTTATGGTTTGTTTGCTTTTTCTTACATAGAAAACTCTTCTGTATAGGAAACAAAGTACATAACTGAACTGTAATGTGCAGAAACGTATAGCAAATCCTGAACATGAAGGTTTTTTCCTCTAATATAGCATTTGATTAATGTAAACAAGGACTTAACTACATATATGATAGGCTTTTTTTGATAATTCTTTGCCACCAAAAAGATGAATAGATGGAATACAAGGCCAATTTAGCCTCAAAAACTTGAGATAGGGTGAAAAGCTAAATTTTCTTAACCCAGCTTCTCTGTATTTATGTAAATGTAACTCTGCATCTTATATAACATTTTGGGAGTTTAAGGGAAGAAATGGGTGCCTTTAGGATCTTTTGGAGTTTGTAGCTTAACTCTTAAGTCTTGACTCTTAAACTCCCCAAATGCAAATCTTAAAAAAACAAAAATAAAACAGTCTTCCACTCTTGGGAGCCACTAAAAGGCTGGTGGTGATCTGCATTTTTCTGTACTGTAGTAACCATACATGTGACTTTTGAATCATCTTCAAGTCTTTTTCCACAAAAGATCCAAGATCCATGTAGTTCCAATCTACCTGTTCTTCCCCTGCAATTTTTCCAGGCCTCCCAAGACATGATTTTGAAAAAAAGGAACTACAGAGAAAGTCATTCCTGCATATTTCCTGTAGCAGCAGGAATGAAAAGCAGAGTGGCGTTTACCAAAGGCCAATTCTAGTTGCTTGAATTTTGCCCAACATCTATGTGAATGGATTAAATATTTAAAAAGAAACACATACTTTTCTTTACCTTTTTAGGTTCCGATATATTAGTAACATAAATTGTGTAGACACCGCTTTTATTAAAACCAGCTTGGTATGCATCTGCGCAGTCTCTGAATGGCTTCTCTTCTTCCCTTTTTGCATTCTTTAGCAAAACTGCAAAACAGAAAATAAATATGATATTGACATCCGCAGTAATAACCCACAGCAAATCTTCAACCAATCGTGGCATTCCTTCCAGCGACAAGGTTAGCCAGTTTACTTTTGTGGCAGTCTTCTAGACATCAACAGCAACTTGATGCAGAAATCAATAGCAGAGTCTGAACAAAAACTTCTCAGTTCCATTTCTATAATGACAAGCACGGAAGCAGGAGCAGCTCAAAAATGTGACTTGCCTGCTAATTGTCTTAAAGCTATAGCTAAACTTAAACTAGACTTGGAGTGTGCAAACTTTTTAAGTTGAGAATTGTTTGAGGCGTTCAAGTGAAATACCAGAGGCCATACTTCAAAGTTAATGAGCTGCATACTAAACACAATTTATCTGATGATTTAACATGTATTTCATATTTTCTACCTTCTGTTAAATTGCACGTTACAGTGGCAGAGGTTGGAGTCAACCTTTGGAGAAACCTTGGGGCTACTTCCAAACCTGTGGGAGGTCACCTGTGGATCCCACCATCTCAGGCTGAAGATAATGGATTAATCATCACATGGGGGACATGGACAGAAAAGCTACACCTTGAAAATTAATTCCAGTTAATTCAGCAGAATTTACTTCTAAGTAAACACATACACTAATGATAAAATTGATATAACTTATAACTCCTGTGTTTATCAATTATATCCTTCTTCTAACTGATTATGAATTAAACTTTCTACTGTAAATGATTTTTATAGTTTACGCATATCCCAAAAAAATTCTATGCAATCTCAGCTAGTACTTGCAAAACCTGCACTTAAGGTTACATAAGAATCTAAATTAATCTGAAACTTTCAGTGACTGCAATGCAGTATAGAACTAGATCAAGAAACTTAAATATATTATTAACACAAAGGGATGATGATTACATTGCTTACATATGCTCTTTCAACTTTATATCAGGGGGAAAGTTGAGAAGTCACCTTTTTTTCATAGTGCTTTCTCTGACTGCCCAATACAGGGGTCTTCAAACTTGGCCCTTTTATGACTTGTGGACTTCAACTTCCAGAATTTCTCAGCCAGGCGTGCTGGCTGAGGAATTCTGGGGGTTGAAGTCCACAAGTCATAAAAAGGCCAAGTTTGAGGAGCCCTGGCCTAGTATATCTTGATGGAAGATATTGTTTTTCAGATAACAAACCTATTTTTTTTATCCTTTACAATATAGAATCAATATAAAAAACGTTTGTGGAAATTTTCAGGCCTTTCCTTAATTTTGATATTTCATTTTGATATTACCTATGGTACAGGTCTAATACATTCCCAGCAGCTAAAACCCATCACCCAATATTCACTGTCTTCTCTCATGCTGCAGATAATGTGAAATGTACATGTGTGACTCCAGCCTGGGGAAAGAATATGCCAGTCTTTACAACAACTGCCTTCTTTTGAATGACTTCTGGCCAATTTCTTTACCCACACAAAATAACCAAACTTATTTTTTTTACAGTTAATATTTCTCCAGGATGAAAAAGTGTTTACTTGCTCAAATCTTGCGTCTTAAGATGTTTTTTAAATAACAGCCCTGTGAAGAAGGGTGGCATTAAGTTGGGGATGAGGAGGATTGATGAAGGTCTCACTGTTCCTTTTGTATTTATATCAAATGAGTTTCTCGGCATGGTGTGGTGGAACAAAAGCTTTCTTACAGGTGCCTTTTTCTCCCCCAAACCTGGCGTGAAACGGAGCTGCAAGCGATTGATGTTCTTTAAGGATGCTTTTTCTTTCCCTCCACTTCACACTCTGTGTGTATGACTATGTGAACAAAGAATGATGTTTGCTTTGCTGGCAAAATGCCAACCTGTAATTACTTCAGGATGGAGCCACTTTTTTTTATTTTTTCAACCAAGTCAAAGGGCTTCCTATGCCAAGAGTCTCTTTCCTCCTGCTGCACCTGGATTGAACTACAGTGCAGCTTGCCAAATGCTCCACAGCTGTGCCCTAACCAGCCACCCATCAGCAGGCATTTCCCAAGGAAAAGTCTGCTGGTCAACAGGCAGCTTTAGCTTAGACTCCATGCTGAATATCCTTTCATAGAAAACAGTACTGTAGTCATTAATTGAAAATTTAGGAAGGAAAAAAACATATCTCATTGAGAAAGCATGTGCTTTGTAATCTTATGGTCCCAGGTTCAATCTTAGGGCTCTCTAGGTAAAGATTTCTGAAGTCTGGAAAGCTGCCTCCCTGTAGAACCAGTAGGCATCTACTGGGCCAGATGGACTACTGGTTGGATAGAAGAAATGGCTGCACAGTTCTTACTGACTTCTTTAAGTTTTGCATAAATCTCAAAAGATGCACCTTCCCAGCTGCGACTGTACACAATTTTTTTATTCTGGATTGAGTTTATTTTCACAAAATGCTTTTCACATAGCTGGGAACTTCTGGCTTCTCAAGAGTGACATAAAATCTTCAAACAAAATTACAGGTCACTGTTTCATTTTTTTTCCACTACAGATGATTCTGGTTCAAAAGGCATTCCTATGACACAGTAGTTTTCTTAGACTATAATCAAATGGAAAATTCCAATTACACATTCAAAGTGGTGTAATAATCAGCATCATGCTTTGCCCAGAATTGTTTCAAAGCCATTTAATTTCATAGCCATTTGGAGTGTTTGAGGCAGGGCATCAGAAGGGCTATAACAACAAAGAAGGGCATAAGTATACCAGCTCTCTCCAGTGTGTATCTGGTGCATTTTTATTAGAACTCCTGCATTCTTAGTTGGAAAAATTGGCTGGTAATTTTGGAATCAGTAATCTAAAGATATTTTGAAAACCACGAAGTGAGCAAAACTATGATGTAGAGCAGGGGTGTCAAACTTGCAACGTTACGTGACATGTTGCAATATATCATGACTTTTTTTCCATTGCCAGCAAAGGAGTGGGTGTGGTTTCGCCATGACGCATCCGGCCCGTGGGCTGGCAGTTTGACACCCCTGATGTAGAGATTGTTAAATGCTGAATAGAACTTAATTAATCTGAAGAAGATAAATTTGGAAATTGAATAATTATAAATTGGTCTCTTCATGAGTTTGAATAATCTCAGTAGCCATTCTACTAATTACTTTGCAGATATTCCCATTTTCCATTGAATATAGGTTAGTGATGTAGCTGATCAAGTCCAATTATTATAATTATTTCTTAGAATCATTTCATCAATTAAATTCTAAGAAACATCTTCGAATGAAATTGTCTAATGTCAGGTGGGAACAATCAGGATCATGCATTAAGTTGGTGACAAGCAATAGGGAGAAAGCAGAACTATAACTCATTTTTTGCATCTGTCTTTACACAAAGGGAAAAAACAGACCAACCTATCAAAAATAATGCCATAAAAAACAGAATAGAAACACAAGTTAAGATAGGCAAGAAAATGGTAAGTGAGCACCTGTCCAGCCTAGACGAGTTCAAATCACCAGCACCAGATGGATTACACCCCAAGATTCTCAAGGAACTGGCAGATGTAATCTCAGAACCACTGAACTATATTTTTCAAAGATCTTGGAGCACTGGGGAACTACCAGAGGACTGGAAAAGAGCTGATGTAGTTCCCATCTTCAAAAAAGGGAAAAAATGGATCCAGGAAATTACAGACCTATCAGCCTGACCTCAATACCTGGGAAGATTCTGGAAAAGATAATCAAACAATGAATCAGAGAACACCTAGAGGCAAACAAAATCACTACTAAAAGCCAACATGGGTTTGTCAAAAACAGATCATGCCAGACAAATCTTATTGCATTCTTTGACCAAGTGAAAAATTAGTGGATCAGAGGAATGCTGTGGATATAATTTACTTGGACGTCAGTAAGGCATTTGATAAAGTAGATCACAACCTACTAATCGATAAGATAGAAAAATGTGGGTTAGACAGCATCACCACCAGATGGATTCGTAGCTAGCTGACTGGCTGTACTCAGCGTGTGGTCCTCAATGGAACTGCAGCTACATGGAGGGAAGTGTGTAGTGGGGTGCCCCCGGGCTCTGTTCTGGGCCCAATGCTCTTCAACCTCTTCATCAACGATTTGGACGAGGGGATAGATGGGGAATTCATCAAATTTGCGGATGACACCAAGCTGGCAGGAATAGCCAACACTCCAGAAGACAGGCTTAAGATACAGGAGGACCTGGGTAGACTTGAACACTGGGCGCTATCTAACAAAATGAAATTCAATGGTGAAAAAAGTAAGGTTCTACATTTAGGCAAGAAAAACCAAATGTACAGGTATAGTATAGGGGATACCTTGCTCAACAGTAGCAATTGTGAGAGGGATCTCGGAGTCCTACTGGACAATCACTTAAATATGAGCCAACACAGTGCTGGGCTGCATTAACATAGTGATAGAACCAAGATCACGTGAAGTATTAATACCACTTTACAATGTCTTGGTAAGGCCACACTTGGAATACTGCATCCAGTTTTGGTCACCACGATGTAAAAAAGATGTTGAGACTCTAGAAAGAGTACAGAGAAGAGCAATAAAGATGATTAGGGGACTGGAGGCTAAAACACATAAGAAACGGTTGCTGGAATTGGGTATGTTTAGTTTAATGAAGAGAAGGACGAGGGGGGGACATGATAGCAGTGTTCCAATATCTCAGGAGATGCCACAAAGAAGAGGGAGTCAAGCTATTCTCCAAAGTGCCCGAAGGCAGGACAAGAAGCAACGGATGGAAACTAATCAAGGAGAGAAGCAACCTAGAACTAAGGAGAAACTTCCTGATAGTTAGAACAATTAACCAGTGGAACAACCTGCCTCCAGAAGCTGTGAATGCTCCAATACCGGAAGTTTTTAAGAAGAGACTGGAGGGCACTAGATAAGAATTAATTTCAATGGACTTGGAATGCTTGTGGGATTGTAATGATTCCAGGTTGATTCCTCTCTTAATTCCACCCCCAGGCTCTACCTTTCCTTCTCCTACATCTAAGCTGTATGTAACAATGTGGTATAGCATATCATATAAATTATTTAACTGTCACTAAAATTGTGATAGCTATTTGAGTTGAAGAGACAAGACATTGATGTTATATTTGCAGTCATTGCAATAGAATACAGGAAAGATTAGATTAAGTTAAAGAATTGGTAATATTTATCCAGCTGAAAACATGTATTCTACTTATGAAAATTGGGGAAATATATACAGTACATTATTTGATACAGCTTACTCAATAAGAGAAAACAGAAAAGTAAGCTGAAATAAGTTGGAATAAGAATAATGGGTTGAAAAATATTTGATAAGTTAAGAAAATATAAGATCTTACTACAAAACATATAACCTTTCTGCACTGTAAAACATTATACATATACATCTTGTCTAGGGTTACTCTGTAATATACATATTTATACCCAATGAATGTCAATTAGATAATTTAAATTCAATGAAGCTATTTATAAAGATCTTTTCTCAAGTCAGTGCTATATAGTGAGAACTGAATTATATTCATGTTATACAATTACATTTGTGTTATATCTGTTTCACATTGTTATAACTATTTTTAAAGAGAAAGTATGTTGTAGCCATTCCCCCTCTATTATTCAGTCATAACATAATATAGCTATTGCTAAATCCCTGAGCAGGCCCAAGCATAAACAAAACTTTATTCATCTCTTTTTTCAATTGTGCAACCTTTCCCTTGCTAAAAAGTTGGATAACTTCCTACTGTGCATTGGCTAAATGTGGCCAACAGGAGCACCCTTGTTCAAAATTATATGAGGATTTCAATTCTCCATAACCATATTGCATTACTGCTAAATGCTTTTCACCACCTGATGATATCATATTTATTATTGACTGATATAGGGTTCCAGATTGTCTGAAACCCCAAAGCAAAATCAACAAAAAGCCTGAGTATTGGTGTAGAATAACAGTATAGAATGAACGTTTTTGGTCTGCAAAGAATAAGGGATATAGATCTAATCATATGATATTTATTCCCAATAGTATTTCAAAACTTGTCATCCACCAGTGGAAGCTAATAAGCATGATTTGGATATGAACTAGATTAACATAACAATGACTCTTGGAAAATTTGAGTCTGTGTCTTCATTTATGGACTTCAGAGATGGATCATATACTGTATCTTATATAGTCCAAAAGCACTACATGAACACCAAAAGGAGACATGAGTAGACTTAGAGCAACCTCAACACTTATAAAAAAAAACCAAAGGCAATTAATTAGCAGAAAATGAAACTTTGCTAAAAAAACTTAAAAAACATATGCAGACTATTTCAGGAAGTGAAATATAACAACTTAAAAGAGTTTGAAATATTTAGTGATTGTCCTACCTGCTATTGGTTTTTGGAAAAGTCATATAGATTGCATGAAACAATTAATTCTGAAGAGTTCAGGAACAATCTAGTGTTTCTTTCATGCCCAAGGCAAGGAACATATTCCTGCTGCATTTCAGTTATTTGAGGCAAAATTTATAATCCAGATGTTTTATGGAACACGTTTAGGCCAATTCCCTTATTATGAAACTCCAGAAATGGTCCAAACCAGGTTTATATGACCAATTTTCCATGAATAAAAATGTATATCCAATGCATTCCTTGGGTAGGAAAAATCACTGAAAGTAGAGGTAAAGGCATGGCTGTTTATATTTAATTTTTGGCTCAAATGCCATTTGCCCCCAGCAGGATTGATCCTTTTAATGTTGGCAGATCAGTTTCAAAGCTCTTGGTACCTATTAGTCCTCAAAAAATATGCCTTTTTGGCCTCTCTCTTGACCTGCTATTGTCTTTAGAATATAAAATAACCTGTCAAATTGTCAAAACCAGATTATTTGATGCTAAACAATAGAATGAACTTAGCTTAAATCATATCAAGGAGCATTTAAAATACCCTAGATGGAAATCATGTAGATTTTTAACCACACTTATATCCCATACTCAGCAGCAATCCTTTTTTTAGAGTCAGACATGATGTTTTACCTACAGCAGTTCTCAGTGGTGGATTAGCTAAAATTCCTTTTTCCAGAAGAACCTATCACCACAATTTGAACTTGATAAAAACCACCCAACATGTCTTGTGCACTGTGCATATTATCAAAGTATCCCTCAATCTCCAATCTGTCCCTTTTAATACAAGACAGGAAAATCAGATAAGTTTTATCTTGCTTTCCTCTTATTATCCTAAGCCTAACATCATATTTAATGGAACTAAATTTGGTGTCACAGCTATTAAAGTATCTAAACAAATTACTACAGAATTAGGTTTGCTGTAACAAAGAATAAATATTATGCCCATGTAGTTTTGTTTTCTAGTATGTTATCAGAATTTTACACAAAGTTTAAAAAGTTTACTATGCTACATTATCGTAATGCAATTTGGTTGTCCAATTCTTTTATTGTTCTGATCATTGATCAAATAAATATGTGATGTGATGTGAAAAAATACTACTGCTGACTCACCTCAAATACTTTGGGAAGGAAATTAGGATAAGACGGATATTTTCTCAGCTTCAAAATGATATATTCCTCCTTCACCCATTTTAGTAATATAGAATAATCAAGTTTATAAAATATATTATTTTAAAATTCTAATTAGATAATATTTTTAAATTCAACTTAACTAAAGTTTAAAAATACAAAACAAAACAAAAAGTGGTGTTTAGGTCTGGGAGATACCAACAGACACAACCCAATTGACTCTGGAAGGGTGCAGCGCTTTAATAAAAGGGATCTGCATTTTTATCAGGCTAGGGAATGGAGGCACTTTAAATACTCTTAGCATCTTTCGGTATGGGCCAGGCTAGCTACAGTTGCTGCCATTTTTCTTTCAAACAACATCAGGACCTCTACTGATTACCCACACTGGTCTGAGTAGACTGGATCGATTTGTCAAATGACTACCAGAATAAGAATACAGATGAGCAAAGGTTTAAGGACCACATGATCTGTACAATCTGCAATATGGCAAGAATCAAACTTCAATGTTCAACCCAAGTCTGGCAAAGCAAAATCCTCTGAAAATTATCAGAATTCACAGATAAAATTTCTCAAGTACCATCAAGCCTTACTCAATATGATAGAAAATTGTCTGGGTTCCTAGGAGGGAAGCAGTGCATTCCAGAGCAGCAAGAGACAATGCAGTCTAGATAATTTACGTGAGAGCAAGAGGGAGAAGATTACTCCTCTCTAATAGTTCTCATTGTTTATGTTTTTAATGCAAACTAATCTGCTTTAATTTGGCAAGATTTCTGTCTATAGATGAGAAACAATAAATCTGCTTAATAAGATCTCAATATTTTCCTTGTTTTTAGTGCCTGATACCCAATGTTCTCTTTTCATACTACCAGACCAGTCCAGACCATTAGCAATGGCTTGTTCTCCTTCCACTCCAAAATGCATCACTTTAATGTAGTCAGATCAAAGGATTTTATATTCTTAAGGAAAACAAATAAAATGTTTTAGCTCTTACACTGGAAGGGGAACTTATATGCCTACTCCCAATGTTGCTGGTCTACAATCATCAATATCAACCCTCACAGCCCATTGGTATTGGTGATGGAAATTCAGGGGAAGGCACAATTGTCCCTTCCTTCTTCTTCTTCCATTAACTAGTTTGGGAAATTGTATACTGGAATGAATATTCATTGCACTAAATATATTCAATCAATTTATTCCTGTTTATTTTTCAAACTGATACCATCTTACCTCCATCTTTAGAACAAATGCTGACCAGGCTGTGGACTGTGTCCATGAGTTCAAGTTGTTGCTTCTGCATAATGCTGTTATTGGTTGTTGCTTTACTTAGTTGCCTCTCAAGTTCTGTGATAATGTAGCTTTGACGAGATACCAAAACTTGCAAGTTCTCTTTTTCCTCTTTTAGTGTATCTAGTTCCTCTTTATGCCTTTCTTCCATTTCAAGAATCTTGTGTTCCAACAGACTGGGGAAAAAACACATTTCAGTGCCACGTTTGTTTTAGCGTGAATGAGATTGGAGATTATGCATATGGATTATGCATGTGGAATGGATCAAGATCTCTTTGTGTCTAACTTAGCTTTCCTGAACCTTATGCCACCCGGACATATTCCCAACCTAGGAGAGTGGTTAAGTACAGCTGACCTATCACCTGTCTTCAGAAATCTGGCTTTGCAAAAGACCTATTCTATTCCTACACACAAAACACGCACACATATGCAGATACAGATAAAGAGAAGGAAACAGACTGCAGAAGATTATTTAATTATGTGTATGTAGATCATGATTCACTCACAAATATTGTATCCAGGACAGCTCAACAACAAAACAAACCTATAAGGAATGGAATTGGGTATGTCTAGTTTAATGAACAGAAGGACGAGGGGGGACATGATAGCAGTGTTCTAATATCTCAGGGGCTGCCACAAAGAAGAGGGAGTCAAGCTATTCTCCAAAGCGCCTGAAGGCCGTACAAGAAGCAACGGGTGGAAACTAATCAAGGAGAGAAGCAACCTAGAACTAAGGAGAAACTTCCTGACAGTTAGAACAATTAACCAGTGGAACAACCTGCCTCCAGAAGAGGTGAATGCTCCAACACTGGAAGTTTTTAAGAAGAGACTGGACAGCCATTTGTCCGAAATGGTATAGGGTTTCCTACCTGAGCAGGGGGTTGGACTAGATGACCATGCTATATAACTAAAAGAGATAAAGTTCCCCCAAGTCATTGGGAATTATAAGGCATATAAATTTAATGAGTCATAATAATTAAAACTCAGCAAGAGCAGACAAAAAAACTTTAAGCTGTTCACAAATTAAAATGACTGGCATTAAAAATATTTTCCCTAATACTTACGAAAATATAACTTTGGCAGGTTCTGCTACTAGAGTTGTACTAACAGGTGTAAGTCCAGGATACTTCAGTCCATAACATTTCCAAATACAGCAACACAGATCCCTACTTGTTTTCATTCTCGTCCCTTCTTGTTTTTGCTTTGGTTCTAAATCTCTATCCTACCACCTTCAGTGGACAATTCCTGGTTTATTTGTTTTGAAAGAGAAAGGAAAAAAACTCCCTGTATATTTTACTTACCCTATTCGTGATTTTATTCCACTTCATAATATCTCAGATTAGTAATTGTTTTTAAGCGAAAGTGTCCCAAAACAAACGTATTAAACTTCTGTATGAGCCTCATAAAAATGGAGGGAATTTCAAATGAAAAAGATTTGAAACTAGAGTGTAAGGGCGCTCAAAAAATATCAAGACATCACATATAAAAAGGAAGGGCCTAGTCTCTTTCCCATCTCCTCCCCACTGGTACCCCTAGCATCCAAAAACCCAGTGAACAACACACTCCAGACCTATTTCTGGATATTCTCCACTATCTGCTCCATTCTGCTGCTCTGCTTTGGCCATAACCTGACACTTAGCAATGCAATATGGATTACTTCCCATCTGAAAACTAATATCCAGGCAAAGAATAAAGATGACTAGAATGGCAATAGCCATATGGAAAATTAAAAGCAAAAATAAAACAAAATGCAACCTCTGCACACATTTTATTAAGATGACAATTTTAAAATGAAACTGCAAAAGTGGAAGCTATGGAAAATATGGTCATATGATATAAGATTTCATTTGTCTTCATATATGAGAACTATAGCCAAGTCCCTTGGAGAATATTTCCTCTTTATCTACACACACACAAATGTATTAAGGGTTGAAGGTATTTTAACTTAAGAAAAACTTATTTCACTAAAATGATTTAGTTTCTTTATATAATGTCAAAAGAATGATAGCATCCTCAATGCTCTCCAAATGTAAGGTTATATGAGGTACATAATGTCTTTAGAGACTATGGAAATGAAAAAATGATTTGAAAGAGGTAATCAAAGCAAAATATACAAAAGTTCTTCCAAAGAGAAAATTAGAAGTGACACCAACTTCATATTTCATCCGGCCAGCATTTTTTCCATGAAGCTAGCTTATGTATTTTCAAAAGAGGAACTTCCTTTAAAAATAAAACTCAAAGTAGTCCTTCATATAATTCAATTTAACATTTTATTGTATTTTGTTTTAACCCTTTTGCCTTCTTTCTTTATGATATAGAATGCTGAAAGATTTAATCTGATTCATAATTTTTGAAGAGTGTCAGCTCTTTGTTAGCAGTAATTTCACATTTTTGAGAAATATTACCACATAAATCTAATAAATAATAGCAGTGAAAAAATGTGCAGAAAAATAAATATTGTATTATTATACATATATCATGAAACACAATATTTTCCTTTTCCCATCATCCACTTTCTTCTTCACTGTTATCTATTAATAGAACACTGGCTTGTGTAATTAAATTTAACTTGTAAATTTTTGAGACTTTATTTAAGATTTCTTAAATCCAAAGAAAGTAAAACTCACCAGATGTCAAATTAAGCTTGCTGTTTGAATGTCTCTAATATCCACTAAATGATTAAATTGAACATTCAAAAATAATTATTAGAAAAATGAGTTTTATCTCCACCACTGCTAAGAGCAAAGATGTCATCTACTCAACTCTTGCAAGGCACTTTGATCTCCTTGTGAGGAGCTACCCTTTAGAGAATTTGTGGATGATCTTTCAATCTCTCTTTCTCCTGAGAAATTCAGAGAACTAGTCTCCTCACTGATCTTTCTTGGAAACATCTTCATTGAGCCATGACTCGTACTTTAAACTCTTTACGGGATTTTGTTTGCTTACTGAACATTGCTATTTAATTTATCATCTATTTTATTCTTTAAGTTTGCCTGGCAGTTTGCAAGGGAGAGAAAAAGGACACAGGGCCTATAAACATCTCTTTGAACAATGTCTGTTTTTGCTACTAATGTCAGGTGAGGCAGGGGACCTGTGACATTGCTGGGAGAGTAGACCTTAGTTAGTGTAGAAGAATAGCGGAGATAGGCAAATTATGAGCTGAAACTTCATTTCTAAATACATAGATGCGTACGATTTTTCTTCCTCTCGAAAAAGATATTTTACTGTATAAATCCATGTTTCTTTTCTGCCCCGCTTGCCTAAGCACTGAATAAAAGCTTAAAAGATCAGGTCTTCCTTCTTCCTGTGGTTAGAGAGCCATTACTGAGCCAAGTATAGAAAAAGGAATTGCAGCTGGGAGACTAGGAAGGAAAGTTCATAAACTCCTTGGGTAAACTGGGAATTCTTCTCCAGGGCAGATTTGACAAAAGTTGGAGACGAATATAGCTCTATGAATAGTACTTTTAAGATCAGTGCTATGAAATTCATCTTGTATTTGGGCTTACATCCAGTAAGCATCAGCTTTATTTCTAGTCACCTGATCACAGAGGTGACTAAGAACAAAAGAGCCTTCATAACATGGCTCCAGGATTTCACTATTGGCTGTGGTGATGCATTTCTAGCAGTTGCCCAATATCTGCATAAAAACTTGGGGTCATAAGAACCTTCCCCATGCCAACTTTCCATTTGGCCCTGGTTGGAAATTTAAGTAGTAAAATCTTCCTGTTCTGGTTAAAAAGTTGTAAGTATCTCTCCTCTGCTGACTGCTCTTTTGCATCTGTGGGCCAAAAATAATGTTATATCCACACACTAACCAGCCAGAGATCTATGTGTTATTTAAGATTTAATTTGAGATCCCCTCACTCTCCACTTATTCACATACATCTCAAGGGTCGTCTTATTGTTTTTCTTTTGGAGAACAGTTCTGTGGCAAAATGCCTTAAACACAAGTCATTCAACTGAGTCTGGGGATATAATAGCATCCACATGTTGTTTGTTCATTGACTATCATAGACCTTCGGTGTTATGTATGTCTATAGGTGGGTATATTAGAGAGAGCAAAAGAGACCAAGGAATCCACAAATCTGCTAAAGATACTGGATGTAATTTTTTTAAAAAAAAAATATTACAATGAAACTAAATAAATACTTTGAACATTTTAACAGATGCAGATTGTAAGATCTTACTAAAGGAATATATTAACAGCTATCAACTACATATAGCACAAAGTTATAGTAATAACGAGGGAAGAGGGTTATAATACAGTTATAATGTGGCTTTTTTATCTTCATTACAGATTTAATACCAGTATTTAATATTCTGCTTTCTACAGAAATATAGATTCCTATGTTATTGGAAATATAAAAACCACATTGAAACTGAAAAAGAGATGCTCATATCAGAAACCAGTGTAGTTGTCAAGTCCATGGTGTAATACCTAACAGTAGCTATTAATGAACCACTAATAAAACCACTACTTTTATATCTTGTTATTCAATCATATAGCAATGAGTTTCTACTTAAACTCATTTTTTTTGTAAAAACATACTGTTTAACATTGAATATCCTGGACTAACTAGCTATATGAATCAAAGATGTTCTGTTCTGTTCCATTCTGTTCCGTTTCATTTCATTCCCTCCAAAATATAGATCAAGTTTAAAGGTCCAAGTTGTGGCTAGATATTTTCTGATAAATACAAATCTAGCTGCACAGCAGAAGCTCATAAGTCTAACATGCCCAATTTAACGTTGATCTTTAAAACACATAATTTGCCTTCAATTTTTATGGCATAGTATGACTGGATTCATTCAGCGCATTATCATGGTTTATCCCGGCATGGATTATCAAATAAATCATAACTGAATATATTCATACCATATGCTAAACCAAAGGTGAACAAGATATAGTGAGAAGTTGTTCAAATCAAACCTTAAGTTAATTAAAAATGGCAATTTATTTGTTGTGGAATTTTCCAGCAGAATGTCTTGTTTTATGATGTACTGTAAATTGATATAATAAATATGGCAGAGATTTGTAATGATAGGAATGCTTACTTTTTAAACAATATCCAGCATATAATGTCTCCCATTTTCCACAATATTTTAACATGAAAGATGTTAAGGAAGGAGGCAGAACATTATACTTACATGCTGCAATTATCTTCTGCCTGAGCATTCTTTCATCCTAATTATTTGAAGGCTATCCCTTCCTAATCAGATTTTAGGGTTTTTTTTAAATGTAGTGATGATCTATTCTTGATGATATCTAGTATTTCAAAATGTGAGGCAAAAAAGAGGAAGGTCAACTTAAATTTTTGTCTGCCTTATTCTGAGACCTTGCCTTTTTTGTTTTTTAACTTTTTAACTAGGGTATACAGTTAAAAGAAAAGGGTATATGTATATATAAAGAAGCAGAGCTGCCCAGAACACTAATTCAATATCACAAAAACCATAGGGACCCCACAATCATCCTATCTCAAAGCCTGGGAAAACAAGCAGGTTTTGAATAGTTTTCAGAATGTCATTCAGTGGAAGCAAAATGGTTTTCTGGGGACAGCTCCCAGATGACAACTAACATAGACAAATGCTTCTCCAAATAAAGAAATTCTACAAAGAAAGAAAATTACAAGGTTATGGAAATGTTCTCTTGGTAGTTGACTTGGTGGTAGTCAAAAGTAGAACATGTCCTTGACAATACTTGTTCTGGATGAGATACCCCTGCAGATGCACAAACCACTGCAGAAATTTTTGGATTGATTTGTTTAGATATAAATAATGGAACACTTTTGGAGAAAAATCAGCATTTTCTGGAAGCAAACATCTCACTTTGGTGATGGAAGACTATAAGTTTATACCATTCATTTTATCCTCACCTGTTTTTCTCATGGATTTTCAAGATTTCATGGGTCTGTTGGAGCAACTGTTTCTCCAGCTTGTAAGTAGATAAGGAATTTTCCAGCAGTTGGATTTCAAGCCGGGATGTTTGATTAAGAACCTGAAGAAGGCAAACAACCAAAAAAACCTTGCAATAAATTGAGGCCACAAAATAAATAGTTGTTGATACAAATATGAAAAAACAGATTAATGTTAAAATGAGCTCACTGAAGATAGACACAGATCAAAAGCAATCTGATTTGTAACTATCATCTTAATCAATATATTCAATGCACCTTATATAGATACCTCATTGATATATCTTATTCAGTAACAGTAGCAAGTAGTACAGGATTTTTAGTGTTCATTTTCAAATTGAACTTTCAGATCTGGGGGACCTGCCAGGCTGAATTCAGTTTTTAAACCAAAGAAACCAGATTCCAAATATTGCTCTATAAACACAATTTCTAATATATCATTATCCTGTGGTATCCCTTTTGCTATATTTGGTCTTTATTTATTTATAGAATTTTCATCATCCTAGATAGTGTATATCTCCATAAGAAAAGTCTGCATTCCTCTCTATATTTCCTTAATGTCAACTGTTTCCATTCTCAATCTACACTGAACAAAATAACATTCCTAGATGCTAGAAACAAAAAATAGTTAAACTGACACAACAAAAGACCATTTTTCTACACACAACAAGAGAACAATGCAGAAGAAGTCATATATCTGAGAATTTATGGAAGCATTTACGGATTCTCCTGTTTTTGCCTCCATTCCACCACAGCTTTCCTTCTAAAAGTATAGTTTTCACAGGGAGGCAATTTTCATCAACTTTAAGTATTATTTAAGGATGAGTTTTGTATTCAACAGCTCCTTTGATAAAATGGGTTTTGAGGAGTTACAAATAAGTAAGATTGTATAAATGATGGCTACTTGTCTGAAAATGGATAATGGTTACTTAATGCATGTGTTATAGTAGTACGTAACATATCTACCCAACCTCCCATGAATGAAAGCAGTAGCAAAATAAGTCAATATTAACTTTTCTTAAGAAATGAAGGCTATACTATATAGCAGTGGTGGCGAACCTATGGCACGGGTGCCAGAGGCGGCACTCAGAGCCCTCTCTGTGGGCACGCGCGCCATCGTCCCAGTCCTAGGCCTTCAGCTGGGTTTTAAAAAACCTTTTCGCTTTAGGCCTCTGCCACCGTGTACAAAAAAAAAGGTTCAAACAATCAGTCAAATTCAACTTGTCGCGGGGAAAAGAAAGATGTTGCAAAGTTGGAATTGATTGATTGAACTTTTTAGTCCCACCCAGTCTGCCGTTACCACCGCAGCCATGCCTACCCAATGGGCCACACCCACCCAATGGGCCACACCCACCCAGCACCCGATGATGCATAAGTGGGTTTTGGGTTGCAGTTTGGGCACTCGGTCTCTAAAAGATTCACCATCACTGCTATATAGTGACTGGAATTGTATGAACATATTCTGCACTTTATTTCTTCATATTTAGCTTGTCCTAGCTCTTTCTATCCTGGACCTTATAATGTGGTAAGATATATTTGTCTTTGCTTGTAATGTAAATATCTTTATACGTAACCTTCAGTCCAATTTGCACTGAAAACCTTTTAATACACGAATGAAGGCAAATATTCATGTCTCAGGATAATGTTGCACGATCCAATCTGGGTCAGCTCAGAAGACTAACCGGGACCAGAGGTTAGTCTTCTGAGCTTTTGTACTCATGCTGGAACCCATCCTCATGGAACTTCTCTTTACCAGAATGCTTTGGTCTATTCTATGCATGGTATTTATGTGGTGCCCAGTTGGTTGTGGCTTCTTATTGGTTGATTGGGGTGTTGATGGCTGGCTATTAAGTTGTTGGCTGTTGTTGGCTATTGTTTCCTTGTGCTGCCAAGTACCTGATAAGCTGGTGGTAAATCAGCATTCCTGTTGACTAACAAGGGGTCCATTTCCCAGGCTTCAATCATTTCCCTGGCTGTCTTTGTACCTGCTTGGCCAATAATCTTAGTAGCTGAGAAATTGAATGTATGTCCTTGTTCATCGCAATGTGAGGCTACCAATGAGTTCCAATCTCCTCGTCTGACCACTCACTTGTGTTCTTGCAATCTGATGGTTAGCTTCCCACATAGTCACAGGGACAATCCATGCAGAGTAAGTATCTCCCACCTCCAAGCAATCTTTGCAAAGCATGATTTGTCCTCCAGTTCTGGTGACTGACCCAGATTGGACCTTTTAATAGAGTTCACTCTCAGACCTTGTCACACAACACAAAAACATTGAGATGAAAAGTTGGAGCACTAGTATGATTTTTATCTCTTGCACAATTTAGTCTTCATGTGTTACTTTAAAAAAACCTTAAAGAGAGCAACAGAGCCAAATATCTATGTTTTATGTCTTGAACATATCCAATATTTTCTTCATATGGTGAGAAAGTGCCATAGAAAGCCATTAAACTAAAATCCTGCTTTCTCAATGAGTACTGGGACTGTTATTACAAAACAAAAACTAGCAACTATACCCTGGCAGTAATATAAGACATAGAATATACTCAAAACACAATGGTTGAGTTTTGATATGTATAGATATGTAAATCTATAATGTAGTCTCTATTCTTCATTATGATATAAATACAAAAATGCAAGAGTTTTTGTTCCAAAGATTTCCTGCATTAATATCCCATTACCCATAAGCTAAGTCCATTTCATATGAAAATTTTTATTAGACCTTCTCTGGAAAACAAAAGAAGCTGAGAGCTTAAACAAAGCTTGTCATCACCATGTGTACGCTATCTCTAGCTAGACTGAATTGTTGGTTTTTTCCCCCTTTGGGTAACTGATCTTGGTTATTCCATATGTTGATATACATCAAAGTAATAATTATGGAAAGGATATTGCATATATAGTTCAAGTTTGAAGAATGATTATGTGTGTGTGTGTGCGTTTGTGTGTACATCTCATACACTCGGGTGGTAGGCGTAATTGCCCATGTAATGATCACAGATATGAATGTATTTGTTTAAAGCAGACAGTCTAAAATAAAACAACTGTTAGATACCATATGCTCAAATCTGTAAGTAGAAAAGAATGGTAAGGGATTATGAATTGTGAACTGAAAGATAAAATCAAAGGACAAACAATAATGAAAGGATGTCCAATGAGTTTGGACCAATTGAATTTCAGAATTTGAAATGCTGATACTAAGGAATTATCTATCTCTCTCCTTCTGACACTAGCCCGGTTTCTGATGAGTTACCAGCACGTCCTTGAATTAACCATATGTTGTCTGGACTTCTTAGCCTTTTATGTAGCAGTGAGTCAATTACAGCCTGAAAAAGCAGCAAAATTGACCTGTCTCCTTTGATATTACAGCCAACTCTAATTTAGGTGATGAATAATGGCTATATTGGAATATAGGATTTAGATGACCTTCAATTAAGTAGCCTCCATATGATTTATCCTAGGTATTCCTGGACACAGGATGACCACATCAATGTCTCTGGACTGGTCCTACATCTTTGCTTCAGCTTTCAGTTCCTTTCATTCTTTGTATTGTTATCACATTGCGGTAGCACAGAATTTGTAAAATGTAAAAAAAAAAACCTGCATCAAAATAATCTTAATCTTCTTGAATTTATGACTTTATAAATATTTTTGCACGTATGTGGGATGTTTCTAGTGCACATTTGTTTTATTAAGAAACCATAGCTGAAAGGCAATTTTGATGTGATTGAATGCTGGTTGATCAAGACTTTGGATATTGCTTTAGCAGGATCCAGAGAAAAGACTCTTCATTGTTAAAGCAGAATATCGAAAATTGTAGTAGTGCATCTATGAATACTGTATTTTTTTGTGCTGTTCTTTTTTTCCATCTGATTTATAAGTTCACTTCTGATGGCTCCTTATCTTAAAACCATAGTATGCCCTTTGAAAAAGATGATTCACTGGGAAGTGAGACATATTTCTTCCACCACCCACTTGCTCATTAGGTTTAGACATTTTCCTGTTAAGCAGAATTATGGACCAATTGAAAATAGACTGACCAAACCCACAGAACAATGCAAGAAAGCCACTGGTCCTTATCAGGAAGGATTCTAACATTTTCCTGTCAATGCTAGCTTTTCTAGCATATTAAAAATGGAAAGAATTTTGATCAGTTAGTTGATAATTTCAGTGAGAATAGCTTTTCAGTTGACTTCAAGCAAATACAGGCCAAGTATTGAACACCCTTCAATGTGTAAATATACCCATGGAATTAGCTGCGAGGATGACTTAGAAGTACTATAAAAATACAAAGTAAGGAGATCTACCCAGCTAGGATAAAGACTCAATGTCTCATATAGACCTCATATGGACAACCATTAGGATTTTATTTAACTTTGACATTTCTACTGTTCAGTATGCACTCGAAAAGTTTTTGTTTTAATCAAAATTTGACTACCTCCCTATATAAGCTAATATATATAGCTCACAGTCAAACTGATCACCTTCTTGGCTACTTCAGTCAAAAAGGATTATTCGGGGAAAGGGAAAGGAAATTATGTTACCATAGTCAATGTTCTGGTGAAGGTAATTGTGACTACTTACTTGTGTTTCAACATCTGTGAGTTTTCTTGTCTGTTCTGCTGTCTGGCTGAGAAGGCTGGTTCCTATTTCCAGCATGGTGGCTGTGTGATTTTGGACAGCATTCTGCTGCAGCTGGGCCATTTCTGACTTCATGTTTTCCACAATGTAGTTCTCAAGCTGCAGAACAAGAGAAAAACAAAGGCCACAGAAAATAATGTTGTTTAATTTTGTTTTGGTTCAAGCCATGATTCATTTAAACAATGTTTGCAGAGTAAACCACAATGGCTGGGTTCCCACAATATGCTAAACTCAATTAAATCACTTTATGGCTTAGTTCAATGTGTGATGGTTGTCATGTTATATTTTGGATTAAAAAAATATTTTTGTACATGTTTCAGTGTTACAGGCAGTCCTCATTTAAGGAATGCAGAAATTCTTGCTAAGCAACACAGTCGACTAAGCAAACCATGTGACTAAGAAAAAGAGAGATGCTGCAAAGATCAGCAGTTGCTTTTGTCCAAACATGTCAAATTTGCGATGTCACGTGATGTCGTGCAACGTATCGGAACATTTGCCGTTGCCAGCAATGGGGTGGGCGCGGCTTCCACGTGACGTGGGCCGGCAGTTTGACACCCCTGCTCTTGTCTCATCCAAAGAAAGTGCTCTCATACAGTGTCCTTTGCCTGAACCTGATTGTTTTCTTTTTTTTGCCCCCTTACACGGAGGAGAGACTGCTTAAACAAGCCATCTCTTCCTCAACTGTCTTTTTCTGCAGCAAAGCAAATCCCTAAAAAATACTAATTGCAAGATAACAAGCTCAAATCTATGACCCTACTTAGTTGATTAGAACCCTCTAGCCCAGGGGTGTCAAACTCAATTTCACTGAGGGCCGCATCAGCATTGCGGTTGACTGGGGGGGCGGGTGGGTGTGGGCAGAGTAAGTGCAGCCTACTGGGTGGGTGTGGATGGAGTAGGTGTGGCCTACTGGGTGGGTGTGGCCAGTTCTACATCATTCACGTCAAGGGTGACTATGGGGGCCTGGGCAGAAGTGGGACAGATCTGAGGGTCTCTGGCAGAAGGGGGTGGGACAGGGGCAAGTGCCAAGGCATGGTCCACTGGGGCAAATGCCAAGATGGCCACCACAAAATTGTCCATTGGCTCCTGGCTGGCCTGGGCCAGGGCCAAGGCAGCGGGGGCCATTCCCTCACTGTTTCCAGGATGGCTTCGCAGGCCACATGAAACCACTTTGCGGGCCGCCTCTGGCCCCCGGGCCTTGTGTTTGACATGTCTGCTCTAGCCAGCTCACAAATGCTGCCTGAAACTGATCAGACCTTAATGAGTTTTACACTGAAGGCTTATGTTGTTGTAAATTATCCCATTGGTTGGAAAATGTACCTTTTACTGCCATTTATTATTGTCATATTTGCAAACAGATTGTTATTCAACACAATTGTTAAATCACACCTGTATATGGTTTGGGTTTTTTTATTTGTTGATTTACTGTTTGTTTTCATGCTGTACACCACCCAGAGTCACATTATCACTGTTGGACAGCCTTATAAATCCAGATCATAAATAAATAAATAAATAATGCAAGATTATTTAGAACATATTTTCAAGAAACTATTATATTTTGCTCCAAGGAGTGCAATGTATGGTTCCTCCCATGTTATTCTGTTTACAATCTCATGAGGAAGCCTAGGCATTAGCAGGAGAGAAAGCCTTTGACTCAACTGATCCAGGAAGATATATTGCTTTTTAAAGTTTTAAACCTGATTTCCCACACATAAGAGAATTCAGAAGACAAAAGACAGCAGTTAAAAAAAATGAAAACAACTAAATTTATTGTATGTCAAGATTAATTAGGCCACATCTTTACATGTATCCCATTAGTTCTCTAACAAAATATCTAAGAACAGGGAAGTGCACAGTGTGATCTCTGATCAATACCAGAATATAAAACATGCATAACAAACACTATAAACTATACACAAATTGCACTTGGGAAATCTCTTCAAGGATACAAATTTTCTATATTGGATTATTTCACAATTGTTAAGTGTGGAATTTTAGTACAAAAGAGCCTGGTCAGTGTGTGATGTAGTCCTTTATACACATGTATGATTTTAGTATTCAGAAACAAAGTTTGATTTCTCTTGTAAAAACATCAGTTACTTAAATGCTAATCTTGTATCGTCTTGCAGAAAATCAATACAGATAGTCCTTGACTTACAACAGTTCATTTAGTGACCATTCAAAGTTACAGTGGCACTGAAAAAAGTAACTTATGATTACTTTTCACATTTAAGACGATCATGGCATCCCCATGGTCACATGATCAAAATTCAGACGCTTGGCAACTGACTCATATTTATGATGCTTGCAGTGTTCCATATTTTCCAGAAACTATTATATTTTGCTTCAAGGAGTGTAATGTATATGGTTCTTCCCATGTTATCCTATTTACAATCCCATGAGATAGCCTAGGTCACCTTTTGGGACCTTCTGACAAGCAAAATCAATGGGGAGGAGGCCAGATTCATTTAAAAACAACAACTGCAGTGATTCATTTAACAACTGTGGCAAGAAAGATTGTAAAATGGGGCAAAATTCACTTAACAAATGTCTCACTTAGCAACAGAAATGTTGGGCT